GATTATCTTCAAGAATTTAATTATTCTTTTCAAAATTCACACAAACACAAAAGAACTAACGTGTTACTTTACTCTTTCACACAAAAACAATATTAAAATTTGAGCTCGATAACTAAAAAGAAATACGTTAGTTTGTAGAAAAAGAAAGTATCTTTTCTACTACATGAAAAGAAATTACTTATTTTGTTAGAAAATACTTTTTCTACATCATGAAAAAGAAAATACTCGGTTTGTTGAAATGAAAAAAAAAATACTTTTTCTACATCATGAAAAGAAAATACTTAGTTTGTCGAAATGAAAGAAAATATTTTTTCTACATCATGAAAATAAAATGCTCATTTTGTTGAAATGAAAGAAAATACTTTTTACTACATCATGAAAAGAATATACTCATTTTGTTGAAATAAAAAAAACACTCTATCTGCAACATAAAAAGACGAGGAAAATGAGTTCATGCGAAAAATATTTCCCAAAATATTTAACCCAACCAAATATGAAAAAATTAAAAAATATTTTCCTTCATACCAAACATACCCTAAATTAAAAAAATTATACTCTGGATGTCACATAACAATTAGGTCGATTACTACTTTATTTTTCTAATTAACTAATATTGCACACATGATCAAAAAGAAAAATATGTTGGACGAATTCAAAATCTTGAGGTTGTCCAACAAGGCCTTGTATTTTTAAGATTAAATTGTCTGAATTGGAATTCATATTTAATTTTTAATATATCTATAAATTTGAATAATGAATAAGATTATGTATTTTTCAGCATTTAAATGAGCATAAATTATCTTTATTCAAAGTTAATAACATAAAAAATAATTATATATTTATCGATAAAATATTGAATAAAATTTTAACTTATATGGTGGTGTAAAAATTGCTTGCTTTATTAGCCATATTCTAGAAGCTTTACTGTTATGCCTGGACTAAAAGTGCACTAATTTTGCATGCTATAAGGATTATTAGTGCTCCATATAATAGAATATAGATGATTTTGGTTCAAATCCTGCACATAAGGAACTAATTTGGGCCTTTTCTTTACAAATTTGTCTATATTTTCTAATACTTACACTGCTAGAGAAAAAAAACAAATAAAAATATATACCTAATTAAGTGCTCAACGCCGTGGATTCCAACTCTTCTCCTTAATTCGAAAAAATTCGTAAAATTTTCACGGGGCGTCTATTTGGTCACCTCCATTTAATTTGTATTCATTTTTTAAACTTACGGATACCCAATTTTAGATAACTTTAGCACCCACAATTTTCTCTTTTCTTCGTTGCTACTTTCTTCTTTTATGTATTCATGTTACAAGTAAACAAGAGCCATTTGAAGCAAAAAACCGTTATAGGATGTGCTTAGGTTTCTTCTTCTTAGTTGCAAAGTAAATTTTTTAGATTTGAATATTTAAAAGTTATATTTCAATTTGACTCATTTGGTTAGATTTGGGCGTTGAAGCGTGTGCTGGATTGTTGAAATTCGAAGAACGGGTTTATATTTTAGAACTTATGATTCGATTTTACGAAGTTTCATTAAAGTGATAGAACTAATTAAGATTTGAATGCATTTGAAAAATAGAAGAACTTAAAATTTGATTGTTGCATTAAAGAGATAGAACTTCGTAAGATTCAAATTTTCTGAAGTTGCATTTGAAAATTAAAAGAAGTTAAGATTTGATTTCTGAAGTTGCATTGAAGATATGGAACTACTTCAAATCCCGTAGGTAAATTTTGTAAATTTTTATGCAATAAGGCTATAACTTCAATTGCGACCCTAAAAGTAGGTATACATGAAAATGTCCACAAAAAAGAATTTGAAGAATTAACTCAAATAGCCGTTCACCCAACCACTTAAACTAAATATAGCCCGTGGAGGTATAATATATGCATAATTTATGTATTATATGTGTATAATTATGTATAATCGGTGTATAATCTATATATATGGTTGGTAAAAGCAAACACTAAACATGACCGACTATTTGTGTAAAGATTCCGTAGAATTTCTACTCGTTTGGGCTTGCTAATCCCAAATGTTTGTCCTCTTTCATGCGCCTTAAAAGCCCAAAAAGAACCCAAAGAAAAGGGGCCTGGTCGTTCAAAAATAGCCCAATTTCAAAAGTAATCGAAATTTAGCCACTTTTTACGTAAAGATAAATCTGAGCGAAAACACTGTTCAAAACCCGGAAAAACTCTCCAGTATATTATGCTGGANCACTACGTTACTAAAACCCGGTAAAATACTACCAGTATATTATGCTGGAGTTCCAGCATAAGTATACTTGAACTCCAACATATTATACTGGAGTTCCAGAATAGTATGCTGGAACTCCAGCATAATATGATGGAGTTCCAGCATAAATACACTAGAACTCCAGCATAATATACTGGAGTTCTAGCAAGTATAATGGTCCAGTATAATATACTGGAGTTTGGAGCACCAGTGCTCCAGTCTCCAGTATATTATACTGGAGCAAGCAAAGTATACCGGTCCAGCATAATATGCTGGAGTTCATACACAAGTGCACCGAACTCCAGTATATTATGCTGGACCGGTCTCTATTGCAGCAAAATGATGGCTATTTTTCATTGACTTGGTAAATGCTGGCTATTTTTGATTGGCCAGTCCGAAAACTGGCTATACTGTGAAATTTTGGTGATTTTTAAAAATAGCCAGATTTACAACTGGTCGTTCAAAAATAGCCCAATTTCAAAAGTAATCGAAATTTAGCCACTTTTTATGTAAAGATAAATCTGAGCGAAAACACTGTTCAAAACCCGGAAAATACTCCAGTATATTATGCTGGAGTTCCAGCATAAGTATACTTGAACTCCAGCATATTATACTGGAGTTCCAGGATAGTATGCTGGAACTCCAGCATAATATGATGGAGTTCCAGCATTAATTCAATAGAACTCCAGCATAATATACTGGAGTTCCAGCAAGTATAATGGTCCAGTATAATATACTGGAGTTTGGAGCACCAGTGCTCCAGTCTCCAATATATTATACTGGAGCCAACAAAGTATACCGGTCCAGCATAATATGCTGGAGTTCATACACAAGTTCACCGAACTCCAGTATATTATGCTGGACCGGTCTCTATTGCAGCAAAATGGTTGCTATTTTTCATTGGCTTGGTAAATACTGGCTATTTTTGATTGATCAGTCCAAAAAACTGGCTATATCGTGAAATTTTGGCTTTATTTTGTAGACTAATTTGCAGTGGATTGACCCAATATGTCTCGACCAAAATGAGCATTAGTCATTTAATCCTTATATTTCACCCTATAAACCCCCAAATAGAAGAAAAAACACCAAAATTATTTTTTAGAATACTCTTACTTAAATAATTGATCAAACTCAAATCTAGATGGGAGTAAAATAAACGAAAGTAGGTTTATTCTGTTGGAAAGTTGGGACTATGTCCAATTTCAGATTCTATTTTCTTTTCTTTTGAGCCGTATCTCATTGGCAATAAAATACTTCGTTTACCCCAAAAAAAAAAACTAAAAAAAAAAAATAAAAGTACTGGAGCACACAACTCTTCATTTGGGCTGTTACAAGAATACAAACAAATGGGGGCATTTGTATCTATACCCGCTTTTTGTGCCACATTTTAACTTGTGCCCGCTTTGCAAAAAAAATTGCAAGTGTATCCATTTTTTCACATAACTTCAACACACGGGGCTGAAGTAGCAAAGACAATCACGCAAAACTTTAGCATTTTAGTAGCCGGGCATGAAGTTCAGCTCTAGAGCTGAAGTTTTTGTGTTGTAACTGGAAAACTTCAGCTCTAGAGCTGAAGTTTTTGTGTTGTAACTGAGAAACTTCAGCTCTTGAGTTGAAGTTTTTGTGTTGTAACTGGGAAACTTCAGCTCTAGAGCTGAAGTTTTTGTGTTGTAACCGGGAAACTTCAGCTCTAGAGCTGAAGTTTTTGTAGAGCTGAAGTTCCGTTTATCTCTTCCATTTCCTTGCACCATTTTACAGAAAATTTCAGTCAGATTTAGGAGGTATTGCAGCAACCATTTGGGTATTAGCTTCTTGATTTTATCACAGCCGAAAAGTTCAAAGCGACGGAGATGGAAAAAACTCCCAGCTGAAGGCAAAAAATCTCCTAACTCCATCTTATCAAGACCAGTGAATCCTTTTAAGTGATGCAAACTCAATTCCTCAAGATACGTGAGTTCAAGAGGTGCCAACATTCCTTCACTTACTGAGTTACGTAACCTAATTAAGAACTCTATACCATTACAATAGTGAATTTCAATTTTCCTCATCTATTACCACATAAAGATTAAAACTGGAAAAAAAGGTTAAC